TCCTATTCCTCACATGCCTTGGAAAGAGACAAACATAATGTTGTACATGTCAAGTGTCGAAGGCAAAAAAACAAAATATTGGTATGTACACCCCCTTCCTATTCCTCACACGCCTTGGAAAGTATTAAGCATAATGTTGTACATGTCAAGTGTCAAAGGCAAAAAAACAAAATACTAGTCTGTACACCCCCTTTCTTATTCCTCACGCACCTTGGAAAGAGGTAAGCATGGATTTTGTCTTAGGGTTACCAAGATTCGCTAGAGGTCATGATTCCATTTTGGTGGTTGTTGATAGATTCTTTAAAATGGCACATTTTCTTCCATGTGGCAAAACTATTGATGCATCTCATGTCACTAAATTATTGTTCCGGGAGGTTGTCAAGTTACATGGTTTGCCTAAGTCAATTATGTCAGATAAAGATGCCAAGTTTGTTAGTTACTTTTGAAAGACATGATGGAAATTGTGTGGTATGACCCTTCTCTTCTTTAGTGCCTTTCACCCTCAAACCGATGGCCAAACCAAGGTGGTTAACTGTAGTCTCAAGAATTTTTTCCGCTGTTGTGTTGGGGAGAAGCAAGGTTATTGTGACTTAGTTCTGCCTACTGTTGAGTTTGCACATAACAATTTGGTTCACCATACCACTCGTAAGAGTCCATTTGAAATTATGTATGGCTACAAACCTTGTACCCCTATTGACCTTGTTCCTCTCCCACCTAATTTTTGTGTTTCTGAACTTGCTGAATATTTTGCTCAACACCTCCATGATTTGCATGCTGAGATTAGACAAAAAATTGCCATGAATACTATTGATTATAAATTAGCTATTGATGTACATCATAAGCTAAAGATTTTAATGTTGGTGATTTTGTTATGATTCAGGTTCGCCCTGAGCGTGTTCCAAAGAATGCTTCAAAAAAATTATTTGCTAGAGCCATCGGGCCTTACCCCTTTATGCAAAAACTTGGTGGGGTGGGGTTATTGCCACAACATAAATGATTCATGCCACACCTTTTTAATATAATTATCTATTATACTCTTACATTACACTTTTTCTCAAAAATTTATATTTTTTTGTTTCTTAATAAATTAAAAGGTATAATAGTCAATTAAAATAAAAAGGTGTGACGTTAATAATTAAGGATGCGGCAATAACATCACCCCTATTCTTATTGTAACTGTGGTGTGTGTGGATGGAAATTAATTGAGATTTCATATAAATGTAGTGTATAAAAATTATATATAAGTAGATCTATACTCATTAATTTAATCTATAATTATAGAATAGGGGTGTGGGACCCAAAATCTAGTAGGAGTGTATCAATAATATTCTCTCATTAATTCCAATAATTCAATTTTGAATAGCAATTAATATCTTATTATTCATCAATTATTGAATCTTTTAATTAAAAAAGATCTATTTATTTCAAATCTTACTCTCATTCTGTATTAAGAAATTAAAGTTAATCAAATCACTGTAATTAGATTTTTTTTTTCTTTAAAAATTCCGTTGAGCATGGCTTACATTCCTGTGAAATATAATCAGTTAATTTTTTCATAAAAAGCTTCGGTTAATTTTCGTGAACTATAATCGGTTAATCTTATTCATCTTACTACTCTTCTATCTTCAAAAATATTAGATTTTCATTTTCCCTCCATCCAACAACCATGATTTTGTCAAT